TGATGTGGACTGGATACTGCATTTCTCTTGCTGGTGTACTGCTCTGATAAATGTGAAAGTCATTACAGAAACCAGGCCTTCTCACTGGGTCACCAGATATTAGTGAGATGATTAGTAGAGAAGAACAAGAAAAAACTAAATACTGCTGCACAAAGTGGTGTTCATTTGTTGGACTTTTGGGCAATCTCTGCTTTGTTTTGTGAAATAATAGATCATTGTGCGTCTTTAGGCAATGACTGGTCATCTATTCATTCAAGGGGAAGTTTAAAGTGTAAATCACTATTTGGTGGAAATAATTGTAACTTATGCACACATCAAATGTGACACACTGCTTTGCCGTGAAAGGTCATCTTTAATGATGTGTTGTATTTTATAAATGAATTGTAGAGAAGGAGAATTGCAGTATAAAGCTGTATAAAATGGAAATACACAAATACTAGTATCTCACAAGTGCACTAAAGTAATTTCCCCCACAGCTAAAGACAGAAGATGCCATTTTTAGATACTACCAGGATGAAGGTTAGAGGCAGAGTAACAATCACTTAGTTCCCCTTATGTGTGTCCCCTTACAGTGACATTGGTCATGTTCACATTGCTTCATTCATTGTCCATAGACTTATCACAGTGCACTTCAGTTCCTTCTGCCATTTGGAATAAATATAAGTGCAGAATTGAGTCTTTATTTTTGAATTATTGCTTCTAGTAGCCATTTCTGACCAACAGTGTAGCCACCCATAAGGTCCCGTCCCGTCCCCATAATTTGTACTTCCTGTTTTACCCATCGATGCATATCTCATGGATGATGCATTGCAAGTGCCAGCAGTGACAGAGTTATTGTAATAAATCCCCTGTATTTATCAGAATAAACTCTGGACACTTCTAGTAAGCTGACAAAAATAGCATAAGGAGGCATTTGTCAATACCAGACTCTTCAGCATCAGGGAGTTCACAGAGTATAGATTTCACCAGAGTTTCACCCTTGTTCCACCTGCCCAGACACTCTTTGTCAGAGATGCTATTCATGCTGCAAGAGAGATCCATCTGGTCATAATCAAGCAGAGGCATGAATGAACTCTGGGTGCTCTGAGGCAAAGCCAGGCTGGGAAAAAATTGAGGCAACCAGCCATGCCTCAGACTGTGATCAACAGGGGCTTTTATTTTTAGAGGCAGGCTTTATAGGCAACCCACCAACTGTGAGAATAAAGTGATTAAATCTCTGACATTTCTTGTTTTTGTTGCAACACAATATAACATATATACTGAAATGAGATTCAGCTTACAAACTGAGGTCTTCAGTTTTCCCACTGAGCAAGCTGCAGGGACCTTAAATTAGCACGGCCTCCCCGGAGCTGCCCTATTCTCTTCTGCCTATTAGTGGAGGACAAGTCAAGAGGCAGCTGGTGGCGCCCACATCTGTCAATGGCTCACACACAACACTGCTGCAGATACCCATTAAAATCACACTGTATCAACTACATAAACAAACTGTGATGCCACATGTTGCACCAGGTTTATTTATGCATGCGCACAGGCTCTATATATATGTATGTGCTGCTATGCTGTTAGTTTGTGTTATACCAGGGCTTCCAACGCCACCACTCTAAGTCACTCTGTGAATCTCTGTGAGAAGAGGCAGCCATTAGCCATGTGTCCCTCAGAGTGACACTTCACTGTGAGCACTGAAGGTTTGAGGTGTGTTGAGAGTCAACACGTCCTCACATGGAGCTTCTTGCACCTCTCACTAGTGTCAGGAAAACTCACTGTCACTCTGGGCTCCCACTAGTTCTCTCCAGAGACACAGCAAGTATCAGTTTCTAAGTTTGACTTCACCTCAGTGAGTTGAAAATAAGTAAAGTAAGACAAGTAAATGAACTATCCTCCCCAAATTTCGATTTAGTTTCAGTTTAGTTTCCGTCTATTTATAATTGATTTGATTTGATTTGATTTATTCTTTCAAACATGTAACAGAGGTCAAAATGTCAACACACATAATTCCACACAAATCCACAAATATATTATAATAATAATTGAAAGCTGCCTAAAGCACTGATTGCCGGAAATGAAATTCTAAAACAAAGTGAGAAGAGCAAACTCTGATATACTGTTACATTATCAGCTTGATATGGCTAACAATTAGCAAGTGCTAGCCTACATTCAGGAGAAGCAGAGCAATTTGGGCATCTCCCAGGAGTCCTTCTGCTCATGTGAATATCAGGAGTTACACTCAGCTCAACACAATCTGGCCTGGTCTATCCAGTTTTGAGAAAAAGTATCGACAGTATTTCTCTACAGTATAGCCATTGTTTTCAGTGGAGCTCAACCTGCTTGAAAGGTTTGCGAGATTATGTCACTCATCTATATGTGACATCATACCATAGCTATTTACATATTAGATATTATTATTTTTCTGTCTTATCAATGTGCATCCAAATTCGTTTGTTAGTTGTGTTATGGATCTCCAATAAGTATCTAGACCTTCTAGAAGATTATTTCCACACCCTGAAATTTTCTGTTATATAAGCAGAAAGAAACCATTCAAGTGACAAGAAACAAACAAAACAACAAATAATACATCATTTAACATCTATTAAGCATTAGGTTTATTGGTATGTACATCTGCACATCATCTGCATAACAATGAATAGAAACACCATGTTTTCTAAAAACACAACCAAGAGGAAGTAAATATAAAGAGAAAAGCAGGGGCCCCAAAACTGAGCCCTGCGGAACCCCAGATACCAACGGGGTAGATGAGGACTCAACATTAGCAAACCTGACAGATATCGTCCTATCCGACAAATAAGACCTGAATCACTCTAAGGCAGTACCACGGATGCCCACTAGCTTCTTAAGTCGAGCTATTAGGATATTGTGGTCAACAGTGTCAAAAGCAGCGGTCAGATCCAACATCCAATAAACCCCCCCCGAGCAAGAAACAAGGTCATCTAGGTCCAGAGTCCGTCTGCAGATGGCTCCAGTTCCAGCCCGGATTAAAACACTGCAGGCTTATACTTGGTTAGTAAAGCTGAAAATGTATTTTTGCTGATAGAGAACTCTTGTGATGATCTTATTTCTTCAAGCACAACAAGACTGCAAATTTGAAAACTAGGCAGTTGGAATTTTGCCAAATTCAAGAAAAAAGGGAGGAAGTGAGAAACAAGAGCTAACCAGCTTTGTGCTTGTAAAAGCCAAGGGAGGGTTTGTCAGGGGGCCTTTTCTGTCAGTAGCATTCGATGGCAGTAAGTACATTTTTATCACTTACAGTATGTTTGCGACTTGTTAGCCTGGCAGCTGCAGGTGCCTATCGAGGGAGAGGTAATAACCTGGCATTGTGCACTGAGGTTAATTTAACACTCCATCAAGAAGTGTCCTGGAAAATATTAAGGGACAGATTTTACAAGGTGACTGTGAGAGTCCCTGAAATGCTGCCAGAGCATCTTCAAGTAATTAAAGCGAAGATTAGTCACTGCTCAGCTGCATCCAACCATTTAGCCATGACAGGACCTTCAACTTCTACTGTAGTTTCATTACCCTTTTGGCATTTTAAATTCTTTTGAATGATCCTGATCCCACTGCTTTTCTGTGTCCCACTTCTCGCCTACTGAAATACCTGCAGCTCCTCTCTAGTGCGCTCTCTCGTATACCCTATCCTTTCTGTCCTCTTTTTTTCTGAATCCTCAGCTCCCTGCTTGACATAATTTGTACTTCCTGTTCTACCCATCGATGCATATCTCATGGTTGATGCATTGCAAGTGCCAGCAGTGACAGAGTTATAACATATTGTAATAAATCCCCTGCATTTATCAGAATAAACTCTGGACACTTCTAGTAAGCAGACAAAAATAGGCTCTGAGGCAAAGCCAGGCTGGGAAAAAATTGAGGCAACCAGCCATGCCTCAGACTGTGATCAACAGGGGCTTTTATTTTTAGAGGCAGGCTTTATAGGCAACCCACCAACTGTGAGAATAAAGTGATTAAATCTCTGACATTTCTTGTTTTTGTTGCAACACAATATAACATATATACTGAAATGAGATTCAGCTTACAAACTGAGGTCTTCAGTTTTCCCACTGAGCAAGCTGCAGGGACCTTAAATTAGCACGGCCTCCCCGGAGCTGCCCTATTCTCTTCTGCCTATTAGTGGAGGACAAGTCAAGAGGCAGCTGGTGGCGCCCACATCTGTCAATGGCTCACACACAACACTGCTGCAGATACCCATTAAAATCACACTGTATCAACTACATAAACAAACTGTGATGCCAAATGTTGCACCAGGTTTATTTATGCATGCGCACAGGCTCTCTATATATGTATGTGCTGCTATGCTGTTAGTTTGTGTTATACCAGGGCTTCCAACGCCACCACTCTAAGTCACTCTGTGAATCTCTGTGAGAAGAGGCAGCCATTAGCCATGTGTCCCTCAGAGTGACACTTCACTGTGAGCACTGAAGGTTTGAGGTGTGTTGAGAGTCAACACGTCCTCACATGGAGCTTCTTGCACCTCTCACTAGTGTCAGGAAAACTCACTGTCACTCTGGGCTCCCACTAGTTCTCTCCAGAGACACAGCAAGTATCAGTTTCTAAGTTTGACTTCACCTCAGTGAGTTGAAAATAAGTAAAGTAAGACAAGTAAATGAACTATCCTCCCCAAATTTCGATTTAGTTTCAGTTTAGTTTCTGTCTATTTATAATAATTGAAAGCTACCTAAAGCACTGATTGCCGGAGATGAAATTCTAAAACAAAGTGAGAAGAGCAAACTCTGATATACTGTTACATTATCAGCTTGATATGGCTAACAATTAGCAAATGCTAGCCTACATTCAGGAGAAGCAGAGCAATTTGGGCATCTCCCAGGAGTCCTTCTGCTCATGTGAATATCAGGAGTTACACTCAGCTCAACACAATCTGGCCTGGTCTATCCAGTTTTGAGAAAAAATATCGACAGTATTACTCTACAGTATAGCCATTGTTTTCAGTGGAGCTCAACCTGCTTGAAAGGTTTGCGAGATTATGTCACTCATCTATATGTGACATCATACCATAGCTATTTACATATTAGATATTATTATTTTTCTGTCTTATCAATGTGCATCCAAATTCGTTTGTTAGTTGTGTTATGGATCTCCAATAAGTATCTAGACCTTCTAGAAGATTATTTCCACACCCTGAAAATTTCTGTTATATAAGCAGAAAGAAACCATTCAAGTGACAAGAAACAAACAAAACAACAAATAATACATCATTTAACATCTATTAAGCATTAGGTTTGAAGTGTTTGAGTTTCATTGTCATGTATTAATATCATACAAATGTGGGACATTAAATATAGGCTTAGTTTATTGTAACATGTGGCTCTGACATATGGAATTCAGCACCAAAGGGTCTTTGATGGGATCCAGAGTGTATATTATCCATTTCCTTTTGTCTTAATGAGGTCCATGTGATAGAATGATGTCCTTCCACCTCACAGGCCCATCTTTCACATTGAGCTTTATAGGCTTAAGGTATGATAAGGTATGGGGCTTTGGTGCAGAAGTGAAACTGAGAGGATCTGAGTCAGAACTGAGCTAAATCCCCAAAATCCTAGCCCCATTTATGTGGCTAAAATTCTTCCAGATGGTATCATCACACAAATGTGAGGTACAGCACAAACTGAAGTGATATTTCAGTTTATACAGGACAAAAACAGGATGATAGCAAAAGGGAAGGAGAGAGGAGCTGAATGGATGGAAAACAAACACAAGATGCAAGGCAAAGTCACACAACACACATAAACACACAATGTGAGCCAGCAGCTCATAACAAGTCTCTTGGCAATTTGAAGTTAATCATTCCCCTAAAACAAATATACACTGTCTGAAGCCATCCTACAGAAATAAATTCCACGTGGTTTTCCCAAGCTGGTGCTGTGTCTCCAGCATGCATTCTCAGACGTGACCCGGCTACCAATTACTTCTGCCCCAGTACACAATAATAGTAAGAGCTCTCAAATCACTTGGTCTCAGCCTGTCAACCTCTTAGAGAGGTCACACACTTTTGTCACCTGCCTGTCAGAAAGGATATTCCTGGAAGACCCTGGGCAGCCTGTAGAAAATGGTTAAACTGTCTGTTCAGATGCACAGAGAACCAGTTGTACATGCTCCGCACAGTGTCAGCAGCTTGTCAGGCAGGGCTCCACAGTGATTAGACCCTCATGGTTTGGCATGATAATGCTCCACTAAAAAAACCATCTTACCCCATACACGTGCTTTGCCCCTGCCTTGGCTGCGAACATGGATAGGATCCCAGTCCCGCTTCCAACATCCAACACTATTTTGTCCTTGAAGATGTGCTTGTTGTGGTACATGGAATTCCTGTAGGTGAGTGTCCTCACTTCGTCCTTCAGCATCTCCTGGTATAATATATGACAAATAACATCAGAGGGAGGCTGACAGCACTATCCCCTGCAGAGAGCGAGAATTAGTTTAGTTGAATTATTGGCTGGACATTGGGGGGCCTGGATTTGAGATCTGCAGTGGTGCAGCAACAAATAACACAGGCTTCACCTAATAGTACTCTGTTCCATCTCATACAAACAGTATGGTTCTACATTCAAATCCATAGCTGGGGTTTCTGGATGAACCCTAAAAGCCTAGCTGTATCTCTTTTCTCTTTGTGTCTCTCACTGTGTTTATGCATGACAGAGAATGAAGAATATTCAGAAATGACAAAAATACACTGGACCTACATTCCAAATATATACGGTATATTTAAAAAGTCATCTTGCAGGTCACACTAGAAAGGTGCTCTCTTTATACAGCCTCTAACACTTTTGCTGCATTTCCACTATCCAAACCTAACGAGTGGTGCACCACATACTTCATCATCATCATCATCATCATCAACTTATTTTTATATAGCACATTTAACACAGCAACAGCTGACCAAAGTGTCAAAAAACACAATAATAAAACAAAATCACAATTAAACAACCACCCA